AAACACTTTGTTGTAAAGAAAATGAAATAAAAAATAATACAATCAAAAGAAACATTCAGCCAAATCTTGCTTGTATGGAATACAAAAGGAGTTATAAAGCAATGAAAGTGAATTTAGGATTTTAAACTTATTAAATGTGTTAATTGACATGCATAACTGCAGATCATTTTCGAAGAAACTTTTCTATTATTCTAGACATTATCAGAGGATAAAAATACGACCTTACCGATGGTGATATATACCAAGTCTTGATATTCTTCAAGAGATCCTGTTCTGACAAATCAGAGAACCCTGTATTGCCTAATTTATATGCCCAAACAAATGGCACATGTCTTAAGGATGGAAAAATAGCAATGGAAATACATTTTTCTTCATGGCATCTACAACAAAAGTCCACAGAAGCTTTTTTAAGCAGCAGTCGAAGATGGGCCCATCCCTTGTAAAAGTGTCCTTCACAGTGGTTCCACTTTTCATTGTGTTGATCCGGCTGAAAAATTGCACCCCAAACATACAAGCACATTGAAGTGAAGCCGAGGAGCCTTTGTAGCCTCATTGTGTCTCTTTCTCAACAGCTGTGTGGAAGCAGTTGAGCGTTTGCGACAAGCTCTTATCTTTGTTTGATACTTGTGTCACACATGACTCACTATGTTCTGCCATAGGATACTAGTCTTCTTAAATTAACACTAGAAGCCTGACTATGCAAAGTGTTTTTGTTGTTGCGGTTAGAGCCGAACATTCAGGAGCCATTACTCCAGTCTTCATTGTCATTGTCCTTCAGAAATCATAATGATCAATTATAGCTCTACAGTAATGCTCAGTCTCAGCTAGTAGAGCATGTCACTTGTAATGACAAGGTCATGTGTTAGATTCATGATGTCTTATTAACAAGGGAGGAGCACGTTCAGATAATTAACCGAATTAACACGGGAGGAGCACATTCAGTTAATCAACTCAATTAACGAGATAAGAGGTGTATGTACAGCAGACTTACCTCTTTTCCATGACAGTTTTCCTGCATCCCTCCACCACACCATCTCCTCACTTCTAACTATTCCTGGGGGGAGAACTCTGGGTTCGGGCCAAATTCCGAGATCGGAGCCCTCCCCTCAGACAGCATGTCAAATACGCATAAACTTTACTCTAATTGTATACCTTTAATGTACTTTGTCACTTAGGATAAATGTCTAAAATGTGCTGTAATACACTTTCAATGGAAGCCTAATGGAGTCCAATGGGACTGTTGTCTTTTTTCTTCTTTCAAAATGAAAGGTCTTTCTGAGCATGTGAGAGAATGAAGTGTGCATTGACATTTGCATGTCATTATGAAAGCGTGCAGATGATCTGTGCTCAAAGTCTCCCAGGGCTCTGACACTCTTGATATCTAACCTGAACCCAGCAAAGAAAGCGCACCTGCAACTTTACACCCGCGGAGGTAGGAATGATGTTATTCTGATTTGGAGCACACATTTATAGCCCAAATAAATGTCTATTTTTTGTGTGTGTTTTTCTTTTACACTTGTGCTAATTTAAAAATATTAACATTTGAATTGTTAGTGACCCTGAACAAAACAAAAATGATGTTTGATTAAAATTTGATTCAGGACCACAGCTTTTTATAATGACCCTGAACAACATATTCGATCAGAGAGATATTGTTGTCTTTCGGTTTTTGACGACAGTACAAAAGAAAGAACGCACTTTCATTTGAAAGGTACCCTTTCCTTCGCGATCAAAGTCAAATATCACTTATAACAGAGAGGAAAGGTGGTAGTGTGAGGACAAATAACAAAGAGAAACTGATGGAAATAATCAAAGCATATACACTTCAGTTATAGCCAGGAAGATGTCAAAGAATAGAAGCCAATCCATCTCACAGATGGAGGTCAGACCCTCAGTATTGGTCACATATGGGGACCTTCCTATGACATGATCCTTACTGTGATGGTTGCGTGATGTAAAGTCCAAAGCCACAGTTAAGTGACTTTCGGCAGGGACTTTTAGGTCTTCTTTATTTGCTATTATATCAAGTTTTTTAGAAGCTGAACTTCTAAATGATCATCTAAAACACTTATTCTTTCATTCCTATTTTCTTGATTATGAAGACATTATTTCACTTACGAGGGGTCACATAAACGAAAATGAAAAAGTTTTATTGTTTCGGATTTTAATAACTCAAATGTTTACAGCAAATTCTGTGATGCTAGATTTGTGCAAAATTAATAATTTAAGAATGAGTTGGAATTTGAATAAGTTCCATCCATCCATCCATCCATTCTGTCTATTTATCTTTCTGACTGTTAGGCCTAAATCTACAACAACAACAACAACAAAATCAAAAAAGACTTTGTTAAATTGACATTCAAAGTTGTCTTAACAAACTTTGCTTTTGTGGTTAAAAATTTGATCAGTTATATGCATTTCTTTGAATTTCAGTTATTTCTAATTCCTTACATTCAAATTTGAATCACAATCCTGCATACCGTTTGCCGCCACATATTCAGGAATTGAATTGGAATTTAAAAGGCATTCTCAGTTCAGTTCTGAAACCCTGGTTGACTTACTTACACTGTACTGCTGATGCTGTTATATTTTATGTTTGCACTACATATTTATGTTCTAACATCAGGCATAATTGAAGACATTGCCACTGAAGACGATGGGCAACGAAATCGCTAAAACAAACGTTTCAAACAGAAGCAGCAGGAATGTGCGAGCCTTTATAAGCAAAGAAAAGCTGGACGTTGAAGCCTTCATTACAAAATACACCGGCCAAGTTTTGATGGACACCGTGCAGCCTCATACTCCAATGAAGAAGTTCTGCTTTCGGCCCGACATCCCAAACTACCGTATCCTAGTTTCTGAAAACGGTGAGCTTCCTTGGGAAGAGAACCAGTATATTTCGCTGTTTATTGAGGATGAGGACAATAAGGAAGTCTGTATTAAGCATGTCTGTCTCTGTGTGCCTTTACCTTCCGGAACGTCCATTTTAATATATGATGTATGATCAGTTATACCATGTCTGTTAATCAATGCCTCCAGTATATGACATATAAATCCTCCTTTGTTGTATTCTGCCATTTAATTTTATGTCTTTGATAAATGCATCCGAAATGGTTCCTTTTCAGAATGAGTAAATAAATACATCTGAACAATGTAGATCTTTGTACATCTTGTGTTTTGAAAGCATATTTCATGACCATGAAAGCACACCATGTGACTTTTGGCAGACTCAGTTTTTTGGTCTGAGAAGATGGCAATTTCTTTAATTTGATAAGTGAGTAAACGGCCAGTGGTATTTGAATGAAGCAAGCACACTGTCATTCCATTACATGGGTTGATTTCCTGATAATGTGAGTACAATAAGTGACTGGCAGATGAAGGCCACCTAAGACATTGTACTTTTATTATAATGCATTCATCTCCTTCTGAATTCGTTAGGTCAGTTCCTGGGCAATGCCAGTCATTTAGTTCATGTCCCTTGTCCAGCATAGAGAATACGTGCCATTTAGATAAAGGTTGAGTGAGATAATCAACTCCTAAAAGACATTTCATATCATATTTGCATTCTATCTGCTCTCACGATAGCTTGTGAAAGAACAACTAGCGTGACAAAAATTCTGAAGACACGCTTCATCACAGAGTGACACTAACGCCTTTGTGTTGCTTTCACGTCTAAATGACACAGCAAAAAAGGAAATTTGCAATGTGCTCTGTGTTTAGAACTTCAGTGGTAGTGGCATTTGCAATTTACTAATTAATTAATAATTCGTTACATTTATATAGCGCTTTTCTGGGTACTCAAAGCGCTTTTACATGGAAGGGGGAATCTCCTCAACTACCACCAATGTGCAGCATCCACCTGGCACTTACATAGTTTGTGGGTATTTGGTGACAGTTGCTTGTATGGTTTAGTACCTGAAGCAATGGCCTAAAGAACAGCAGGGTGATTTATTCAGTACTCAAGCAACAGAAATTCAATTGTAAAAGAACATTTTAAGTTTTTGGACAAAATATATTTCACCTTTCTAAGAGTCTAATGCATTTTGGGTGCAAGAAAGCCTGGGTTAGGTCTGAGCTCCAGAAATGTATAAAACAGTTTTATATATATATTTGGGCTGTCAGTTAAACGCGTTATTAACGGCGTTAACGCAAACCCATGTTAACAGCGTCAATTTTTTTATCGCGCGATTAACGGTCTTTTTGGCCTAGCAAACTTTGTAGTTTTTTTCACATACTTTTGCAACAGGACGTGGCACTGCGCGGCGCTGCGCTATGAAACCCATTCATTCCAATGGCTTGCGCTGCGCGAGGACGTTTTGTTGCTTCGTCGACCAAAGCGCAAGCGGATCTAGCTAGACCGGAAACAAAACAACAGGCACGCCGCACACACTTGTTTGGGCTTGCGAGCCGGCCAAATAGTAGGTTAACGTTACGTTTTGAGTGGATGCCGAGCGCGAGACGCCGAAATGGATGCCAATAAGATTCTGAATGGAAAGTTTACTTTTAAAAAGTTGCCAAATGGTTCCATTGACAAGACCAAAGTGATCTGTGTGTTTCGTCGTTGTGAACTGAGCTATCATCATCGCAGCACGTCCAGTCTGAAATACCGCTTGATGATGGCCAGGCACACACACACACACACACACACATGCTCCAAGTGAGAATGTTAGTGTGAAATTGAACATTATATGCCAATGTTGTTTTCAATAAAAAACATTTGCACTAAGCAAGCCGATCCACTTTTCCATTTTGATAAGAGCATTAAAATGAAAAAAAAGTAATGGGACAAAAATAAATCAAGAGACATTTAGAATAGATAAAAATGTGCGATTAATTGCGATTAAATATTTTCATCGTTTGACAGCACTAACATATATATATATATATATAAATTCCCTCAAATAATATATCACAAAGGCTTGGCACCCATTGAGGCTCCACTATTATGTAGACATGACATGAGACGAGCAGAACTGTTCAAACTTTTTAGCTTTCAAGGAGAATGAGTTAACAGCACGACCATGACTTGCAAAACATCTCTCAAAATTCTGGGGTTGGACACATAAAAGAAAGTCGCAGAGAAAAACTGAGGAGAAAATATGTCCATTGAATGTCTGGAAGATAAAAGCAAGGTAAGACTATAGGATATGTCATTTATGTAACTATATAAGCTAACATTTCAAGACATTCTATATGCTGGATCTTTTGTAGTTACAGAATTAAAGTATAAGCTTATAAACTTTTATGTCACTTAACAGCTTTATATCAGACATTTCAGTTACACTTTATGTCTGTGTTAATTATTTATTATATATTTAAGTACTGAGTAACAATAATTAACTACGTGTACTTACTATATGATTAGGTTTAGGTTAAGGTTAGTTCCATATAATTAAGCACAATTTATAGTAATTTCTATAGTAACTACATGTAACAAAAACACTGTAAATGTTACCGACATTTCTGTTGAGGAAAAATAAAGATGATATTGAAGATGTCTCTATTGAAGATGATAACCTTAAAATAAAGAATGAAATGCATAATGTTTTGCTTTGAAATCATTGTTTTATCCAATCAGTCCAATGTTTCTTCTGCTTTACACACAGATGCGTTTGCCTGTGTCTTTCTATCTGCTGAGCGTGTGGCTTGGGTTTTTGTGTGTGATATTCGTGTTTCTGTGGAGTGGAACCTGGAGAGGAGGGTTTGCTTGGGATGGTTCATTTCTGCAGTTTAACTGGCACCCGGTCCTCATGGTGACGAGTCTTGTGGTGTTATATGGAAATGGTGAGAAGAAACCGCTCTCTTTCTGTCTCACATGTAAACACTTTTTCTATTGCTCTCTTGTTTTAACTGCAGACATCTTCTCTTTCCTTTTCTGGTTAATGGTCTTGCTCCACAGACAGTCCCATAAGAAAAAAAATCACTAATGATTTCTGTTTAATAACGCAATTGTTTCTCCAAGATGGCAGTAAGATTAAATCGAGCCAATCGAGATTTGGCTTAAAGAGATAATTCACAGAAAAAGGATAGTTCTGTCATAATTTAATTTACAACTTAAGCTACATGTCATTCCAAACCTGTATGACTTTCTTTGTTGTGGAACACGAAATGTGATCTGTCACACGCGTCTGACAAAATCAGTGCTGAGCAAGTGCCCTAAGTGTGTGAGTAATACTTTCCACCACATTTAACGACAAAATGTTAGGTAAATGTGTAATGATAACAAGGTTTTAATTAAACACAAACAGCTGTGCTCGTCTCTAATGGACAGTCTTTCAAGCTGCGTATGTCGTAGTTAATTTGCTATATGAATAGTGAGTGAGCAAAGCTGTTTTGTTTGTGAAGCATAGATGTGGAGATGAGGGAGGATATTCAATAACCATTTTATTCTAGTTTTAGCAGTGACATTTTGTTTTGAAACTCACATGGGAGAAAGGGCAACAATATAAAAGTAAAAACTACGGAGGTACCAGTTTTAGATGGTAATACTGTTACTTTAATATGCCATGATTACCACTTTCAGAATTCTTAGTATTATTTAGACTACCGTTCAAAAGTTTGTCAAAAGTTTCAAAGTTGATTAATAATATATGAATGTATAATATATATGTGTTTATATTGAACATTGATGGAGCAACAGATTTTGTGTGAAAATAAATCATAAAAGTGGTTTATTTTGTTTAAAAATCTTATAAATGTAGGTGGTAAGGTGGGCTTTTTACACATGGGGTTGAAGGCTCACCATGGGCAAAAGGCAAAGTATTGATACTTTAGCTAAAGTAATATGTTTTTAATAATGTCTAAGTTAATACTTGTTCAAAACATGTCACGGGAAGGAACGAGAGTGGAGACAAGAGCAGGTAAGTGATGTTTATTTACAGTGAATAAAGTAGCCAGAAAGTCACAGTCTCAGACACACAGGGACGGGCAAGCGATGCAGGGACCTTGATGGAAGCCGGTGACGTGATGTGATGAGGGTGAAGTGTTGATTTCCAGTCCAGAGAGTGCTGTAGAATTATGACGAGGAACACGAAGATATCCGGGACATGAACGCAGGTACAAGAAACAGCCAGACAGGAACAGGAACGAACACCAGGAACACATCACAACGATCTGACAAGGACGAGACGAAAACAGTGAGTATAAATAGGCGTCGCTGATCAGGTTCAGCTGGTGCTGGAATGGAATGCAGCTGGAGCCACTGATCAGCGGTACGGACGGGAGACCACGCCCACACTCACACACACAACAACAATGACACGAGACAAGAAGGATACAATGAATTCAAACACCGTGACAGTACCCCTCCTCCTAGGAACGCCTCCTGGCGTTCCCAGACGCCCTTACCTGTCGATTGTAATCATCGATAAGGGAGTGATCCAGGATGTCCCTAGCAGGTACCCAACTTCTCTCCTCCGGACCGTAACCTTCCCAGTCCACCAGATACTGGAATCCGCGTCCCCTCCTTCTAGAGTCCAGTATACGACTAACCGAATATGTTGGTTCCCCATCTACGAGTCGCGGCGGGGGGGGGAACCGGGGCAGGCGGATTAAAGTGTGAATGAAACACGGGCTTTAATTTGGAGACATGGAAGACGGGGTGAATTCTCCTGTACGCCGGAGGAAGTTTGATTCGGACTGCCACCGGGCTAAGGATCTTGGTGACAGGAAACGGGCCGATAAATTTAGGAGCTAATTTATTGGAAACGGAGCGGAGAGGAATGTTCCTGGTTGAAAGCCACACTTTTTGACCAACGACGTAAACGGGAGGCTTCGACCGGTGGCGATCGGCCTTAGCCTTGGTGCGCGCCCTCACCTGGAGCAGAGTCTCTCGGGCTCTGGTCCATGTGCGGTGGCACCTCTGGACGAAGGCGTGAGCGGAGGGGACCGCGACTTCGGATTCCAGGCTAGGAAAAATCGGTGGCTGGTAACCTAGACTACACTCAAACGGAGATAGGCCCGTGGATGACACTGGCAACGAGTTATGAGCGTACTCAACCATGGAAAGCTGTTGACTCCAGGAGGAAGGATTCTTGGAGACCAAACATCGCAACATTCTTTCCAGATCCTGGTTGGCTCTCTCGGTTTGGCCATTGCTCTGGGGGTGAAACCCAGAGGACAGACTGACAGTCGCTCCCAGTAACTTACAAAACTCACGCCAGAATTTGGACACAAACTGGGGACCCCTGTCGGAAACCACGTCAATCGGGAGGCCATGTAAGCGAAAGACGTGGTCCACCACAGTAACCGCTGTCTCCTTGGCAGAGGGTAATTTGGGCAAGGGGATGAAATGAGCCGCCTTCGAGAACCGGTCCACTACGGTCAAAACGACCGTCTTGCCCTGGGAGGGCGGGAGGGCGGTAATGAAATCTAGCGCGATGTGGGACCAGGGTCTCGAAGGGACAGACAGCGGTTGGAGTAACCCATCCGGGGGTCGATTGGAAGTCTTACCAGTGGCACAAACCGAGCAAGCCAAGATGAAGCTGCGAATGTCGCGAGCCATAAGTGGCCACCAGAATCGTTGCTTAACCAAAAAACAGGTGCGATTAACCCCTGGATGACAAGCCACGTTAGAACAATGCCCCCATTTGATGACGTCGGACCGTAACCCCTCCGGCACAAATAATCGACTCGGTGGGCCACCGGGCGGAGGCGTTACCCCTTCTAAGGCCGTCTTGACCTTCGACTCGATCTCCCATGTGAGTGTGGAAACAACTAGGGTCTCGGGTAAAATGCACTCGGGAGTAAGCGGGCGTTCGGAATGGTCAAAAATACGAGATAAGGAATCAGGCTTGATGTTTTTGGAACCTGGGCGGTACGATAGAGAAAAATCAAAACGACCGAAAAAAAGAGCCCACCGAGCTTGCCTGGAGTTGAGTCTTTTGGCCGTGCTGATATATTCTAAGTTCTTATGATCAGTCCAGACGATAAAAGGTACCCCCGATCCCTCTAACCAATGACGCCACTCCTCTAACGCTAGCTTGACCGCCAACAACTCCCTGTTGCCAATGTCATAGTTACGTTCAGCAGGTGATAGACGATGGGAAAAAAACGCGCACGGATGCATCTTGTCGTCTGTGGAAGAGCGCTGGGAAAGAACTGCGCCTACCCCCACCTCTGACGCGTCGACCTCCACCACGAACTGACGTGAGGGATCAGGGGCTATCAAGATGGGAGCCGAAACGAAGCGGCTCTTCAGTTTGGCGAATACAGCCTCAGCTGTATCGGACCACCTGAACGTCGTTCTGGGGGAGGTCAAGGCAGTCAGAGGCGCGGCTAGTTGGCTGAAATTGCGAATGAAACGCCTATAGAAATTGGCGAACCCCAGAAACCTCTGTAGGGCCTTACGGGAGTCTGGGCTTGGCCATTCTACCACAGCCTTAACCTTGTCAGGATCCATGCGCATTCCCTCAGACGACACGATGTACCCTAGAAAAGAAACAGACTGTGCATGAAAATCGCATTTCTCCGCCTTGACAAAAAGCCCATTCTCTAGCAGTCTATGAAGCACTCGTCGTACGTGCTGCACATGTTCCTGGAGAGAAGATGAAAAAATCAATATGTCGTCCAGGTAGACATATATGAACTGATCAACCATATCTCGCAGCACGTCGTTGACGAGTGCCTGGAAAACCGCTGGGGAGTTGGACAGCCCGAACGGCATAACCAAGTATTCAAAATGGCCCCTGGGGGTATTAAAAGCGGTTTTCCATTCATCCCCCTCCCTGATGCGAACCAAATGATAGGCATTACGTAAGTCCAATTTAGTGAAGATCGATGCTCCCTGCAACCTCTCGAAGGCTGAAGACATCAACGGTAAAGGATAGGTATTCTTTATCGTGATGTTGTTCAACCCCCGGTAATCAATACAAGGTCGCAGAGAACCATCCTTCTTCCCCACAAAAAAGAACCCCGCCCTCGCTGGAGAAGAGGAAGGCCGGATGAATTTAGACGCTAGAGAATCAGAAATATATTTCTCCATAGCCTCCCTTTCTGGAACAGAAAGTGAATATAACTTGCCCTTAGGCGGAGACTTACCTGGCAGTAAATCTATGGCACAGTCATAGGGACGGTGAGGAGGAAGAGAAGCAGCACGGGACTTACTGAACACTTCCTTCAGGTCCAGGTACTCAACGGGCACGTTGGATAAATCCACTGTCTCCTCCTGAAACACAGAAACAGGTACAGACGAACAGGCAGACGTAAGACAAGACTTATAACATTGAGTGCTCCATTCGGAGATGGAGTGTTGGCGCCAGTCAATACGGGGGTTGTGTAATGTGAGCCAGGGGTGACCAAGGACAATGGGTGTCAGGGGCGAGTCCAGGATGAGAAATGACAGTGTCTCAGTGTGATTACCAGATGTAGTAAGTGTTATGGGGCCGGTAGTGAGAGCAATGTTGGACAGTCTTTGACCATTGAGAGCGTTGACGGATATGCTGTGATCAAGAGAAGTGACCGGAATGAAAAGTTTATGTGCCAACTCACGGTCCATGAAATTTCCCTCAGCCCCTGAGTCCAGAAGTGCATGACAGTCGTGAGTACCGGTCATCCATCTCAGTCTTACCGGGAGGAGCGTGGATGATGGTGGTGAGGACTTCTCGGCGGAGATCCCACCCGATAGTAGCCTCAATGTTACTACCGGGCTTGGCCTTTTAACGGACAGTCATGTACGAAATGGCCCGCCCCTCCGCAGTAAAGGCAGAGCCTGAGGGACCTCCGCCTTTCCTTCTCCTCCCGGGAAAGCCGAGCTCTACCCACCTGCATGGGCTCGTGATCGGCGACGGGGCTGACCGTGTCTCTGCCGCTGGCTCGTGGGGGTTCCGTGACTCCAGGAAAACGAGCCGGGGGAGCTAGCCGTTCCATTCTGGCGAGTCTAGCATCCACTCTGAGAGCCAGATCAATAAGTCCATTCAAACTTGTGGGTAGGTCCAGAGTGTAAATTTCCCTTTGGACACGGTCAGCCAGCCCACGCAGGAACATGTCCCACTGCGCCTCCTCGTTCCACTGGCACTCGGCCGCCAGCGTGCGGAACTCAATGGAGTAATCGGAGACCGGTCGGTCACCCTGGTGTAAATCGGCGAGGACTCTGGCTGCCTCTCGTCCCGCAACCGACCGGTCAAATACTCTCCTCATCTCCTCGGCGAGTGCCTGGAACGAGGCGCAGCATGGGTCTTGGTTCTCCCACACCGCAGTTCCCCATAACGCCGCCCTCCCAGTCAGTAGCGTCAACACGAATGCAACACGGGACCTTTCGCTGCTGAAGGTGCGAGGTTGGAGCGAAAAATGCATAGAGCACCTGGTTAGAAACGCCCTGCAGTAGTTGGGCTCCCCTCCGTAAGCCTCCGGGACAGGAAGACGAGGTTCCGACTGGAAGGACGGCTCCGGTGGTGTGGGTTGAACCGGCGGTGTGGGCGGCGCAGTGGGACCCCGAAGATGTTGAAGCTGTTGGGTGAGCTCGGACACCTGCATCACTAAAGCTTGTACTGCCCGCCCTGTGTTCGAGATACACTCCTCTTGAGAATCCATCCGATTGACAGTGCGAGAAACAAACTCGTTAAAAGTGATCTCCGAATCACCTGCTGCCTCCATGCCTGGTCAGATCGTTCTGTCACGGGAAGGAACGAGAGTGGAGACAAGAGCAGGTAAGTGATGTTTATTTACAGTGAATAAAGTAGCCAGAAAGTCACAGTCTCAGACACACAGGGACGGGCAAGCGATGCAGGGACCTTGATGGAAGCCGGTGACGTGATGTGATGAGGGTGAAGTGTTGATTTCCAGTCCAGAGAGTGCTGTAGAATTATGACGAGGAACACGAAGATATCCGGGACATGAACGCAGGTACAAGAAACAGCCAGACAGGAACAGGAACGAACACCAGGAACACATCACAACGATCTGACAAGGACGAGACGAAAACAGTGAGTATAAATAGGCGTCGCTGATCAGGTTCAGCTGGTGCTGGAATGGAATGCAGCTGGAGCCACTGATCAGCGGTACGGACGGGAGACCACGCCCACACTCACACACACAACAACAATGACACGAGACAAGAAGGATACAATGAATTCAAACACCGTGACAAAACAGTGACTTTAGCAAAGTTTGTACTATTTTCTGTTTATTTTGATAAATGAAATAATATTTTTTTTTCAATAAATATACTGTGATTAAAATATGTTAATATAAAATATATTTTAAAAATACAGAAAGTAAAAAAGTAAAGATTCTGAAAGCTGTAGTAGTAACAACAGTAACAACAGTAACAATAAATTATATTTTATTATATGATATGAATCATGTCATATTTTTTAAATATGATGGTTTCATTATAAATATGGTGATTGATTGTCTCTGAGGTGGACACCCAACTTAATATATGATATTTACCATCTGAATAACCATGTCATGAAGTCATCCGGCTGTTTATTATCATGTTAATTATAAGAATATGTAAAAGTATGGTTTTTGTGCCTTTTGACCCCTGCTGTTGGGGCGAAAGGCACAAATGCCATACTTTATATTCTTCCGTTATTGATAAACTGTTGCTAATCATTAGCTTGGACAAAACTGAAAATCATTAAGAAGACCTTTGTCTCAAAATATATTCAATAATTTTAGCGATTCTTATTTTCTACTTTAATCTACAACATTTTTTTAAAAAAACATTAAATATTAGATCAAATTAGCACAGAATCAACTTTGCTTTGCAGTTTGCGATCACATCAAGGATCAGCCAAATTTCCACATGCATCTTGAAAAGCAGATGTTTTGGAAAGTTTTGTGCCATCTAGTGGTTTAGAGGAGATTAAAATTAAAGGCGCCTTTTACCCCGGTGCGCCTTTAGCCCCGTTACCCTAATATTGTGAAATATTATTACAGTTTAAAATAACTGTTTCCAATTTTTATATATTTTTAAATGTAAATAATTCCTGTGATGTCAAAGCTGAACTTAGAGCATCATTGCTCCAGTCTTCCAGTGTCACATGATCCTTCAAAAAAACATTCTAATATGATTATTTGGTGCGCAATAAACATTTATTATTATTATTAATGGTATGCTGCTTAATATTTTTGTGGAACTTCAAAAGAACTGCGTTGATATGAAATAGATTTTTTTGTAACATTATACAAATCTTTACTGTCACATTTGATCAATTTAATGTATCCCTTATGAAAAAAAAAAAATTAATATCTTTAAAAAACATATTACCAACCCAAAACTTTTGAGCGGTAGTGTACGTGGTATATATTACCATGGTAGGCCTACTATGTAAAAAACACATGGTACCACCATGTTCATACCATGTCCAAAACACTTAGTGTGAATCACATTCAGGTAGTTTTCTCTTTTCTCTGTGTCTGTCTGTCTCTCTCTTAGCCGTTGTCCTGTACCGTGTTCCTCTCACCTGGAGCAGGTGGTGGTGTAAGTTGGCCCATGCAGGGCTGTTGTTCATGGCAGTGGTGTTGGCTGTGCTAGGCTTGTGCGCTGCCTTTGATTTTCACAGTGCCAACAACATCCCTCATCTGTATTCATTACACAGCTGGACTGGGATCTCCACAGTGGCTCTATTCACTTTGCAGGTATACCACATAGCCCGATGACTGACTTGTCACAGTATTTTCACTGCTTCATGCTTGGTAAAGCTCCATAAGTATGTTCTGCTCCATCAAATTTCAATGGAATGATGCTTGACATCGTCTCCTCTGCCTTTCTCCTCTGATTGAATAGTGGTTTGTGGGTCTTTGCGCTTTCTTGTTGCCCTGGACCCCTTTGGCTTTTAGAGCCCGCCTGAAACCGCTCCACATCTGGATGGGCATGGCCATCTTCATCCTGAGTCTCATCACCAGCCTGTCTGGGATCAATGAGAAGCTACTACTGACGCTGTGAGTGACAATCCTACAATCACACCCATGTAGCTACAAGAAATGGCTGCAATTTATCCTTTTCATATAAATAATAACTTTTCCCTTTGAACTAGTATAAGAAGCTTATTATGGTGAAACCACCCATCTAATGATTTTCATTTTCATTCATTGTGTGCTTTGTTGACGGCTGAGTTGTTTGTTTCTGTTTCGATGTTCCCAACCAATTATGTCTCTGCAGAAACGGGAGAAATGGGAGCAATACAGAACCATACACGGCGCTGCCTGCTGAAGCTCTGTTTGCAAACTCATTAGGTGTTTTGGTTGTTATTTTTGGATTGGTAGTGCTGAAAATACTGTCCAATCCGAAATGGAAGAATCCAGAGTTTGAGAATGAAACTGACAGGGTGAGTATGATGACATTCACTTTAAGAAGCCAAAATTTTATTATAAGAATAGACAGTAGCCTACCGTTTAAAAGTGTTTGGTAGTAATCTTTTTTTTTTTTTTTTTGAAAGAAATGTGTACTTTTTATTCAGCAAGAATGCATTGAATTTATCAAAAGTGACGGCAAAGACATTTATGATGTTACAAAAGATTTATATTTCAAATAAATGCTTTTCTTGAAAAAAATTTTTTATCAAAGAATCATGAAAAAGGTACCATAGTTTCCACAAAATAATCAACACAACTGTTTTCAGCATTGATAATAAAATAAATGTTTCTTGAGCGGCAAATCAGCATATTATAATGATTTCTGAAGGATCATGTGACACTGAAGACTGGAGTAATGATGCTGAAAATTCAGCTTTGCCATCACAGCAGATTATGTTTTAAAATATATTAAAATAGAAAACATTATCAACATTATCTTATAGACCGAAAACATTTGCACGGTATAATTTTTTTTTAATTTTTTTTTTACATTTGTGACATTAAAACCTTAAGTGCTGAACAGAGAGGCAATGGCTGAATTTTTTTCTTTTTAATTTCATTTGTAGCCTTTGCTGACAGATGCCAGATGACGACTGGAGTAAACAAGATAAAAGAAGAAACAAACTTTGGTCACAATTATACAAATCACGTTTTGATTACTCTGTGGCAGCTGATTGGTTTTATGTCTTGTTCATACTCATCCAAAACATCTGAATGCCAATTGATTGACATGTATCCTTATCAATGTTAGAGGCAGACCTCTTGTGGTTAGCAAAGAAATTGCAAGAAAAAACTAAATAAATTTACCAGTTTGCATGTAGACTACTTTATATTTTGTCTTTTAAATTACATTTTTTTATTTTATGGATTATTTTATTGTAAAGTTGTTGAACTGTACTGTATTGCAGTCCTGAGGAAAAGTGGAGATGCCGGGGATTGAACCCGGGGCCTCATACATGCAAAGCATGCGCTCTACCACTGAGCTACATCCCCTTGTAAAACGTAATGGTGTAGGTTATTATCATAGCTTTGTAGAAGACCATTTATGAAATTAAATATTATTTTTAACACAAACAAAATGTGATATTGCTACTTTAGGAAAACCTTTTAACTCACCTAAATTTGTAAAAACCTCCATATATTCTAATAATTCGTTGAAATTAAATTAATGAATTGTGAATTTTATAATAAGTACAGGCGTGCAATAATTTAGATAAGATAATTAACGTGTCTGGCTGCATTAAATATTTGTAGATATTTAATATGATGGATTTTTCATCTTATACCAGTGTACGTGCAGCCTTCGTTGTGGTGGCACCGACATCCCTTACTCATCGTTTACGGTGCTGATTGGTTTAAAATTCCACCCAAGCTGATATCGGCCAATGAAAATAATTTACGTTGAGTTCTAATAATGACATCTCGTCATTTCGTTCATCGGTGCTATGTGCTTAGAAACTCGCAGGTGAATGTGTGTACACGCAGATGACGAACCACACACAAGCGCTCTGAAATGGGATGTTTCATAGGCTAAAGACTACGACAAACGCCGGGCGGACAGCTGAATTTGAAGCGGATTTTTTTTCTATATCAAAGGCATGTCCACTTTTGTGGTGAGTGAAAGTTTAAAGGTAAAATGCTGTGGTTTGTGTGTTAGCTTGCTAAATTTGTTAGCTTGATTAAGTGTGCAAAATCTGCGTGCAGCTTTTAACTTTCTGGACAATTGTGATTCAGTACAGTACGTTAGTCAAGATTTGCATTATCAACCTGGTATCGTTTTATAACTACCCATTATTTTATTAAACTAGTTGCAGGCCTTATGCAAAATATATAAATATAAACGCGGTTAGTGATGCATTAGGCCCATTTAATCATATTTATTACATCTACAACATGTACATGAATAATAGCATTTTGCAAACAAGAGTTTTTTGGAGTACCTTAGGTCGTGGTTGTAATAATTTCTCATATTGTTGACAAACTTGCCGCGGGGCCAAGTTTCATTGGTTTTCGGCGGCAATGCTTAAGATTGCCACAAGGGGCTCTTAAAGAAATGCATATTAAAACAATATGTGACATATCTGCAATTCACTTAAATAAACAGTAGATACATTTTGAATGTTGATTCAGTTTAAACGAAATAATCAGTTTGTGGAAGTTTTTATGTGTGAGGTACAGGAGGTAACAGCTCTAATTATATGTTGTCAAATTTGGTGCCCCTGCTTTAAATCTGCAGCTGTTCACATCAGAGCAAAATGCCTTCTAGGATAAAGAAGTTTAGACATCGCCAAAGTGAATTTGAGAAGCATTACATACAGTCTATATGATAATATAGTAATGATGATGATAATATAATGTGAAGTAAGAATTTAAACTCAGTAGCGCCCGGATGGACTGGACCATAAAGCGACCGTGTCTTTATAAACTTTTTGAAGTGTCAAAATGGTAGTTGCGTGGACTGTCAATAGAGGGAAAGAAATCTTTCAGATTTCATAAAAAATATCTTAATTTGTGTTGTGAAGATGAACTAAAGTCTTATGGGTTTGGATCGACATGAGGGTGAGTAAATTATGACAGAATATAATCTTTGGGTGAAATAACCCTTTATTGTACAGCGACCTCCATTTACAGATTTCTCCCAGTTAGAACAAAATAAAAATGACGTCTTTATGTATTCAGAACAATAAAGTATTTTTTTTAAAGTATGCCAGCCCTAAACAGCTGTCAGCACAGTAATAGGGCTACTTATTCAATCAATACAATGTCTCTTTTAGAGTTGCATTCACAAGGCTGTCTGCAATTGTTTTTCTAGGCCCATCCCTCGGTTCGTGTCAGAGGAACAGAACACGCATACACACCTGTGCTGTGTCAAGATGAGAAGTGTTTAGGGCAGGAGAAAGGAGTGCACATGCACTGCCCCCTCTGTTCTGTGGCCGAGGCTTACCAAGATCCCATCATCCTGCGAGCTCACTTCCGCATCAAACACGTGGACAAAGGCATTGATTTTGCAGGTAAGGAACATGGAATCTATAGACTCAAAATTTAGCTTTTATGACTGATGCTCTTTGAAATCAGTCTCTCTCTTACACTTATTTTTTATGGACAGGCTTGAAGGTGCTGCGCTGCTGTATCCATTGTGAGATTGTGGGAACTATTAAAGGAGAAAAGAGGTTTAAAGGTGCTCATTGGCACTGTTACCGCTGTAGAAATGGTTTCAACAGGCGGGACGAGGCCATCAAACACTACAAAACACACTTCCGAAATCCCCACACCACATTTCAGATCCAAGTCACTCAGGTAAAGGTGGATAACAACTAACTAACGGTCCATTCACACCAAGAACGATAACTACAAAGATAACTGTATTAGCGACCACACCGATGTATGGTAATGTTCTGTTTATAATAAGTGCACACTAGGCTATAGTTATATTGACTGCCACTTTGCAACATGTTACATGACGTCGGCACTTTGAATGCTCAAGCTTTTTAAAGTCATGTGGATTCTGATTGGCTGATGCTTTTATCATTCATCAGCTGAGAAAAAAAATGTTCAGTGATTCCAACAATATCATTCCTCTCTGTCATTAACATAATAGTTGTGGTGTTGACTTGCCTATTTTTTCATCAAATTAGAATATTTTTTTTAATCGCCCTTAGTGTGAACAGCCTTTTTTCGCATTGGATCGCTCTTTTTGAACCCAATAATGTTTGCATGATTCCTCTCCTAGAATGTGAACTGCCGACAGTATTATGGGGAGAGCTCAGAGGCTCATGGTAAAGCATATGAAGGGCTGGCAGTGAGTCTTGGACCAGGTGGAGATGGCACAAGCATTGGATCCATATTAACTCAGCCCATCCTGACCACTGGCACTGAAACCCTATTGACTGTGGAGCCAAAGGTAGACTGTCCAAGTTTTATTTTGGGAATTTCATTAAAGGGAACCTATTATGCTCTTTTTTCAAAGTCTTCATTTTGGTTTTGGGGTCTACTAGAACAGGTTTTCATGCTTGAAAGTAAAAAAAAACACTTTTTTCACATATTTTACATTGCAGCACCTCTCTTCCCAGTCCGTCAGTAACGCTATGTTTAAGTCCTGTCTCTATGAAGCCCCTCCTTCAGAAAAGCACAATATGCTCTGATTGGTGTGTTGTGATTGGTCAACCTCTTCAAGCGTGTTTGGGAAGGGTCACGTCCTTTACCATAACCGTGAATTTCAGCATTTCCAGGAGTTCAGAAACACTAGTGATTATTGATATAGAGAAAAACTCCATTTGGAGTGCATTTGTGCTTTTTTTTTTTTTTTTTTTTTTTGCAGACCTTTTTCAAGCTCAAACAGCAACATTATACAAAAAAATGAAGTTTATGTGATCTACTACTAAACCTCTTACTGTTGATTTGAAATTGTTGTCGACCTTTCCTTTGTGTTTGAAGGAAGAAGGTGAGAGAAATGGGATCCGACTTGGTGCTGAGGAGGAGGTGGGGTCTTCCCAGAATTCATCTGATGGGACACAGACTCTTGTTCTTATGGACCCTGATGGACAGGGAAACAGTGTGATCTATGACATGGCAACTGGTATCATTACTGAACAGGTCATTGATAACATGAATCACAGAACATATTACTGTTTTATGGTATTTAATGATGAATGCTCTGTAAAAAACTTCTAATAGAAAATGGTAATTAGATTTGTCCATTTATCTATCATTATTGATGCAGCTAGACGGTTTTGAAGCTTTTTTAAAAATTTGGGGTTAGGTTTTTTTTTTTTTTAAAGTAGGAGTGATCTAAAAGCTTTGCCACTTTAATTTCAGGACGCAGAAAGTTTGGAACAGACCCTGCTACAGAAACGACTCCTGGAGCTCCACCAGCAGATTGACACACTCCGTCAGGAGAAAGAGGATATGGAGAAGACACTACAAGCTGAGATTAAACAGCTCAAAGAACAGGTATACCTGCAAAAAGTTTAAAGGTGCCCTAGAATGTTTTTTTTTTATTATTTTATAATGTTCCCTTATAATGTTAGTATGTTTTAGATAAAAAATAATCATAATTTAGAAATAAAAGGCATTTTTCCTATCCTGCTTTTAGCCTCTGATTTGAACACTCTGTTTGAAGGGGCGTGTCTGCTGTGGGATTCAGTGTAACCGCGGCCACTGCTGTGATTGGCTGACATGCTTGCATATGAAATAGCTACGCATTACATGTGAAACTCTCTCCCGAATACTTTTACTACTGCTATTATACGTTTTTACTATAACAGCTATCGAGATTAACGAATCGTGAGATGTTTTTAAAGTATTTAGATCTATTCCCATCACATAAAATGTTGCCGTGATGAGCATTGAGCAGATGACAGTGTGTTGATCGCGAGAATGAAGATCTTATCATTGCAAAGCAGTTTCTGCACACTCTCTAAGGCTTTCACCAATGCAAACACGATGATGTAAATACAGTAAGAGCTTCGTTGTGCAGTAACGTGCGTCATTGATTTCATAACGAGTTTGGCAAGTGTCCAGATAAACTCGCGCTGTGTGGAAAGATTGTTCTTTGATCGCTTTCTGTATATAATTTGTTCACAATTTAAATACGATTATTTTCATCCTACTAAAAGAAACGATGTGAAGCTGATATTTTAGTCACTGGCTTGACTTACTGATGCATAAACAGTATTGAACGATTTTGAGAGAAAGATTACCTGTCTGAACTTGAACAATTACACATCAGAAAGTGTTGCTTGGTAGCTCGATCCGAGGCCAGCTCTGTATTGGCCCAAGTTGAGGAAACAGTCGGTGAAATGTTTGGAAATTTCCAGAGAAAATAAAATTAACCCATTGTTTCTTCAGAGGCTCAGATGAAGGAATTAAAAAATACTTTTGTGTTCATGTGTACATCCACACTGAGCAACTGCCATGCTTCGGCTGCGCAGTTCCGGCTGGCATTATGCAAATATTTGGAGGCGTACATATTAATGATCCCGACTATTGCGTCACAGTCGGTATTGTGTGGAGAACCGACCGTTTTTCATAAACGTGAATTAAATGAGAACGCGAAAACAGTCCAGTTTGAGATTCACTCTATGTCATGTCCATGCACTGAACTCTTGTTATTTGACTATACCAAGGTAAATTCAATTTTGAATTATAGGTCACCTTTAACGTTTATATTTAGCCTTTTTTTGTAAAAACTTTCATTAAAGTTATATTCTATGTTTATATTTTTCTCTATGTTGTCTTCTTTTGCATTTCTTCTATTTTACTTTTAGGTTGCAAGTCTGGTTCAATCTAATGTTAGGATGTTTGAGGAACTGCAAGCATATCAATGTCCAGATCACAGCCAGCAGAAGGTGGCCAAGCTTGTAAGTGTTCAGAATGTATTGGCTTGGGCTAATTCAAATTGATATTTCTCCTGGGCAAAACTGTCTTACTTTTTTATTGTTAGATGGAAAACCTTGAAGCGCAGCACAAGGAGCTCCTGCATGCCCAGTTGGCCTCACTCAGGAGAGAGATCCTGTCGGGAGCAGATAACATGCCAATCAATGGCCATAAGGATGCACTGCAGCTCAATGTGGTTCTAGAAGAGCCACAAACTGAAGTTATCAGTGGCACTTTAACAGGACTGGAGGATTTGGATGTACAATTACAAACTGAGCAGCATGAGGCACTAAGACCCACAGAGCTCGAACTAGTGCAAACCGATACAATGCCCTGTTTGGAGAGCCCCGGCTTGGACTTAGATTTGCCAAAGACTGGCTTGACTACGTCTAAGGTTTTAGAGGATAAACAGGAAGTGTCATTGTCCCTTGTGTCGTCTAAGAAGCGCAGCTCAGCGGATGACTCAGACACAGTTGAAAGCAAAGTACAAAGAGTCAGCTGAGAATGACTTGACATTAGAAACACTCGTCTCCATTCCTTTTTCTCAACGCTTTTAAAATTTGCTGTTACCTTAGCCACACATTTCCAGGTCAAAAATGATGTCTGTATTCTGTCAATTGACATAATATACATAATATACATGATGCAATATTTTTTACCTTAAATCTCCTTCCCTTTCCTTATTATTTATATTAAATGCATAATATACATGATGCAATATTTTTTACCTTAAATCTCCTTTCCTTTCCTTATTATTTATATTAAATGCTGCATTGGCAATGCTTTTTGATGGACTCATATGCTCTGCATTGAATTTCAGTTAGCTTCTGTTGTTCTTTGAGCATAAATAGAAGCATGTTACCAGGCACGTGCACAGGTAGGGCTCAACCTGTGCAGAGCACATGCCCTTTTTGCCGAAGTGCCCTTTTTTTTGGTGATGTTTTTTATTAATATAAATTAATGCTATTGGTCATCATTTAAGTCTATCTGTCTGTTTTAAAGATATTTAGCCAATGAAAGATCTTAAAAAGAGCTTGTGTAAATCTTGTTCGATCCTCAAACTGTCAGTAAAGCTGATAACTCCGCCTCTATCGTGACTGAATGAACTGAAGCTCCGCAGCGGCCGCACAGCAGACAGTTTTGCAAGGGTAAACTAAGATCTTGTTGTTTAAATAAGTACTAAACACGTTGTCTATAAAAGCTCATATTTTATTTATTTGATGTCTGACTAAGATATGTGGGACCTGAGAGAGAGGACTAGGCCTATATGCTAACATTTGCCATAGTCATAGCCAAATAGCCTACACTTAAATAGCCTGTGCATACAGCAGCATTTCATTTTTTATAAAATGCGATTTTGACCAAATGTATTTTACAACAGGAAAAACTGAGCGCCTATATAGCTATAACAATTTAGTTGGTAAGCTGTTGATGAAAATGTAATGATGCCGCCTGCGCCGTTTCCATCGGAAAATCATAAGCACATGCGCGCCCCCGCGCTGTTCGTACTGAAACTACACAAATCGACGAGTGATCCTCGTCACATATTTCTAAGAAATGTGTTCTTTGATTTATGATTGCTGCTGATACACTTAATTTATTAACATTTAATCATGTTATGGTAATAATATTACATTATGGTTAATTCAAGGCTGTAAATATGGACGTATTCACTGTCTAATTCTTGGATCTATAGTAGGCCTATTTTATATACTCTCCGGTCGTCCTCACATGCAGGGACGGATTAAGGCGATGATGTGCCCTGGGCACGGATGTCTCAAAGGCCCCCTTCACCAATTTTTTGGACAACAGTGGGCAGGCAAGCCAGGCATTTTTAGGGGACCCCCGAGGGCTGGTCATTTAAACAATCAGAAATGTTAATAATAACAGACGCAGCAACATCTCTGCATCCCCCAGTGTGGGGCCTCTTGCTCGTTACGCTCGTTATGCTTTTACATTTTTCAAACTGGTGCAGCGCTTACTCGCGGTAGGTAGAAAATGCATGATTTGATTTGTTAAACATGAAAAGGACTTATCCGTCTGGCATGGCAGCTCGCTCTAACTTTAACCTAGATAAATGCATATCCAAGTGCGTGTGCGGAGTGTGCAGCGCGCACTGCATGGCAGGCGTCGGCGCGCACACTTGCATTTTCCAATCAACAGTGGAAACAACTTGAAATAGGCCTACTCAATCTTTTCTGGTCATAGGCCTATACAGAAAAGAATAATGCATCAGTCGCAAGTAGCTACTTTTATTTTTGTAAACTCACAATAACAAGAAACCGTTGTGCTTTTGTAAAATAAAATAAAACAAACAGGGCGCGCTTTCATGGTCTCCGTGGCGTGAACCGGAGCGCGTCTCAAAAATGAACTGAAACACAGTGTATAGCCTCACATACATGATGAATATTTCTATATAAAGCTTGAAATGTCCACTTTTAAACGAAAAAATTCGAATCGAAAGCAAATACCGGCTGATTAGGCTGATATGATATGAAAGGTGCATTTCTCTCTAAAGGCGCATCCACTTTACAGCAGAGATATAGATATGTTTGCAGCCGACACTGATTTAAAAAAATTTTTATTAAACAATAAAAATGCCTAGTTTTTTCCAGACATATATTATCATTAGCCTGCTTTTGCCGGTGCTTTGCGGCAATATTTATGATGCGCTTGCGTGAGCGCGGAATAGGCTATACGCCTCCACTCAGTATTTAAGCAGAAATTAATATTAACGTGAGATTAGTCGACTAATTGCTTAAAGGAATGACTAATAGTCGTCGACTAGAAAATCTTTAGTCAACGGCAATTCTAATCAATGCATTTATGCCAGTTGACATTTATTTAATTAGTAGCCTAATTCTAGTATCCAGGTCTTTACGTTAAAGACCCACTCCGATGAAAATAATGTTTTTCTAGGTGTTAACATGTTCTTGTGGCATTTTTCTTATGTTAGAGGACATATCTTGAGAAAAATAAGCTCAAAGTTGTATTTCTGAGTATTTCTACATTCAAATGGCTGTGAATCAGTAGCAGACGCTAAAATGCCGTTCAAAATAGACTGGAGTTGTGACGTAGTAACTCCACTGGGCGGGGCCACAAGCTTGTTAAAATTAATCGAAAGTGCCCCTCTCAAACAAATATCAATGATAATATTGTTTTCAATAAAACAAAATGCATTTGATTATAATTAACATGACAATGTGACAAAATTCACGTTTACTTGTATGTTTCTGTCGGTTTGAGCTGTCGTTGCCATGACTCGTTGCTATGGGTTGCGTCACTTGCGTGTCTTGCATCGGACTCGACTGAAGGGGTCAGTCTCCGTTTTCGAGGCCGAGGGTCAGTAATGTGGACGGCAGGAGCGCATAATCGTTGCAAAAGTTATGCATTTTAAAACGAAAACGCACTGTACGGCTGGATAGCGCCAATATTGCTCTCAATTTTTGTTGCACCGGTAATGACAGGTTGGGGGTGTAAGCTAGCGGGAGAGACAGAGCTCTCAGCAACGGGGAGGGGGAGGGTCATCTCCGTGCCAACGGCTCCGCCCACAACGCAGAGGCGAATTGCTAATGAGCTACTGCCGCTCTGCTGAAGCAAAGTCCCAGAAAACGGCACGGGTTTTGTGAGTTTGGCTAAAAATGGCATAATCATAATTTAAAGACCACTGGGAATGTTTACAAATAGCTCAAAATATGATCGGAGTGGGACTTTAAATTAGTTGAGTTAACAATTAGTTAATGAACTAAAATAATAAAACAAAGATTAAATTAAGATGCTATATAGCATTGCTTGTTCCACCACAAAAGACACTTTTTAAGGTGACAATCCGTTACACATTTGAAGATTTACTGTATCTTGAAGATTGTTGTATTGTATTATATCTTCTGTTATAAAGATGAAGATTGACATTTCGTTAAAAAAAAATAAGCCCATAGGATACTATTGTAAAACATAAACAACTTAGCCTATGGTCTGTCTTGGTTGTGGTTTTAAACTCATTTTTGTTTTGGTTTTTGAGTAACCGTCTTCTACGCGTGACTTTTATATTACGCAATGCTTTTCACTCGCCTCTAGATGTCCTTCTCAACAGCGCAGCAATACATTCAAATTATTTATTTCATTTATTTACTAGTTAATACTTTGCAACTGCAAAAAAAAAAAAAAATCACATTATTTCTCAATATTTAACACAATTTTACTGAAAATAAAAATAAAATAAAAAGAATAATTTGAAAAGAATAGACACAGTACATTTTACAGGGCCCCCTGCTGGCCCAGTGCCCTGGGCAAGTGCCCAGTAGGCCCGTGCGTTAATCCGTGCCTGCTCACATGTATAAATGTAGTAAAACATGGCTTTACTACAGTAATGTTGTAGTAGTAACAAAAAAAAAAAAAAACACATTACAGAAGATCACTGTGAAATCTTTATATTTTATCATCCATAATGTAATTTGTGATTTCATTCATTCCCAGGCTTAATTTATTTGATCCAAAATAAGCAAAAACAGTAATATTGTGAAATATTTTTAATATTTAAAATAACTGTTTTCTATTTGAATATATTTTAAAATGAAATTTATTTCCGTGGTCAAAGCTGACTGTCATGTGATCCTTCAGAAATGCTTTTCACTGCAACTGTACTTTTCACACTATTTTATAATTTTTTCATTGCTGGCTTATTTTATGGAAAGTGTAGTGAATAAGAGACCTTCAAGAGACCAACATTGGTCCTCCACAGTGTCAGGTTTTTGCCATCAACTGCAACTGTGGAGAGATCCTTTTCAAAAATGAGGTTAATTAAGAACCAACCCCGAAGCCTCTGCTCAGAGGAGAGACTAGACCTTCTCCCCATAGCCATAAAGAGGGACATCACAGTGAAGTGATAAACATCTTCAAGCATGGCTCACAGAAGGTTGCTGTTGTAATATGGTTTAAAGAAGCCATGAAGCCCTGTATATCTATATTATCTATATTATTATTATTATGGTTGTTAATAATAGTGAATAAATCTAAAGCTTTTGAGACTATTATTTTTTTGTATTGAATTTGTCATGAAGATGTGACCATATCCTCCTTTTATGTAGGCTTACTAAATAATCTTGATATTAAAAAAAGGGAGGGGGGTGCCCTTTTTCAGTTTCAGCACATGCCCCTCAAAAGGTCTGTGCACGGCCCTGCATGTTACTGATCTTGAATTCATAAACATTTTGTGATGAGCTGTGGAAAATGTTTTATGCTGGGTTGCTAAATCTTGATGGTCTTGTCGCCATGGTCTACATTGTTATCCTACTCTGGCTTTTCATATGCATTTTCAATCCAATGCCACTAAAATAAGTGTCTTTTATCAAGTTAAATTGTTCAACCGGTGCATTACTTACCATGCGTTGGCAACTGTTACTTTTCACAGCGCTGATCAAGATGGACCAGATCAGCCCTTTGTGATTAAACGTAAAACATTTTATAATTTGTACTTAGATTGATGTGTCAGGTTTCATTTTGTTATAATGTTTAATATATGAATTTATCCACGGAGATAAACATAGTTCTGGGATTTGAATGAGGCTCATTGAGGATTCAGGGATTTACTGAATTTTTACTTTTTAGTATTCAGCGAAATGACCATGATCAGTATGACACTGGGTAACAAATGGGCAGCAGATGCATACATCTATAAATAATTCAATTGTTTCTCTCTCCCTCTTTTTACGTGTATTTTCAATTCAGTGGCTTTGAAATATTCTCAGTGTCGTAAATTATCACCAAATGCCACCTCTGTGCTGTTGTTGACCTATCGCAGTCCTTTATTATAACTTTAGTACTTTTTTAAATCTTATCTTTTATGGTATGGTTTTCACAATTAAATTAAATTATTTAAACAATTATTCGTCCTACTGCACAGGTTAAAATTTCGAATGAATGCTCAATGGGGGAAATTCGTTTTCTGACCCACCAAGCGCCCCCTGGAGGAAGACAACCGCCAACGCCTTCTCCAGACCTGACGGTGGCAGCACATGCTGGTTGACGTTACCAAGAAAAGAAATACCGGAAGAAGGAAGCGGGCATTTCACTAGTACACTGTGAGTATTATATTATATTTTAACGTCTGATTTAAAACCTAAACAACATTTCTGTGCATAATATAAACAGGAAGGGAACAGGAATATGTAATTATCGAATTCAGTATGTAATTAATGTGGCAACTAGGCACAATCACTTTATATGTATAAAGCTTGGTTGTTTTTGTGCAACATTTATAATAATGTATTATTATTCAAAGGTCATTTACCAAGGCAAGACACCCCACGCATCACGGTTGGCGTTAAATACATTCCTCGAGAGGAGATTAGTGTTTTCAGCAGAACTTACAGCATCTGTAAGATCTGACACAGGAATGTGCGCTTGTTTTGTGATTGCTGTAAGTGTGGTTTCATGTGTTTTTATAGTGTTTAGGTGGTGCATATGTCACAGTCAGCACAGCCCGGGACGATGCCCACAGCCCCGGATTCCCCCTCTCTGAGCGTCACCGTCAGTGGAAATGTGCAGAAATACAGCATCAAGAAGAAAAAGGTTTTAAATGCGGAGGAGACTGAGCTGTTCGAGCTCACTCAGGCTGCTGGGATAGTCATTGATCAAGAGGTGTTTAAGTGAGTCACACAAAATCAAACGGAAAGTGCCAATAGGGTTCTTTAAGGGATAGTTCATCCAAAAATGAAAATTCGCACCCTCAAGTTGTTCCAAACCTGTATACATTTCTGTCTTCTGCCGAACAGAAAGGAAGATATTTTGAAGAATGTTTGTAACCAAACAGTTGTGGGGCACCATTGACTTCCATAGTATTTCCCCCCAGAAAAAAAAATGAGATGACTAACTTTTAAGACTAGTCTAAGCAGTTTATGCAACCAGCTGAGCTACCTGATCAGAAATCTAAACATTGGATAAGGCCAGGTTCAAAATTGTTTTGTTTTGGTGACATATTAAGGTTAAATGTTTTTACTGAGGGGATTTTGAATATCTCTTTTTATCACACCATAAATCAGAAAATACTGTCAATAGCCAGAAAAAGTAAGATAAATCAGGCAAATGATACATGAACAAACTTCAGGAAAAACCTTCAGAAAATATCTTGGAATAAAACTGTAAAGTCGGCGTCAGTGTTACTGAAGTGGAGATGCAAATAGTTCAAATGTAATAAAACAAACACTTGAAGGTATTGTAGGTAGAAATTTTATAAAAAAAACTTTTTTCCAAATTTGTTTAAACTTTCTATATATATATATATATCAATGCATAATTAAAATGTAAGTACTCTGATAAAAAGAGTATACAAATCGAGTGACTCTAGACCGTTTAATCTGCACTAAACACAGCTCATTATTTCCATCCGGGACGAAACAAAGGATTTGCTTAGGCGACTGTCACTCTCTTGCAACCATGGCAACCACCCTTTTGCCACACAGGACCTGCCCACTTACGCGTACCCGTTTGATTTGAGGAATTCAAGAGGCATGGAACCTAGGAATAGCAAAACAATGGCAGAGAAAGACCAATCAAAATTCACATATGCAGTTCGCGAAGGCAAACCAGCCAAAAAAAGGAAGACAGTAACGTTACTAGAAAAGGTAATGAACAGAAAGTCTTTGGATAAACAACGATGTATCTGTCCTCGAGCTGACGATGCGGTACTTGTCTGGAGTGTAGTCCTCATCAGAGTCAACAATGCTTTCATCATGGAAACTCTTACATGCAGAACACCATATATGTTATGAATCTTACACGAAATTCATCTTCATCACAGTGTAAATGATGGCAATGGAAAAACGTGTACCATGCAACCTGTTTTTAGCTTTGCCTTATAGATAACTAGCTCGTTAGCGAATCAATAAATATAGGCTATATTTTAAACTTTACCGATATCAATATGCTAGCTTGATAGTGAGTAAAAAAATACATCTTATTTGTTTATCTTCATAATGATAAAGTTAGATTTTTTTTATTACATGTGATTCTGACATGATGTCACTACATGCACTGCGCTCCTTCCTCTCCGCTCGTCTCAGGTAAATAATGCGTTTTCAGCTCAGCGGTCGGAGTCGCGAGTTCATGTGTTTTTGGGGCGTGGCTTTGGAAGGAGCCCAGAAGGGAGGGGGTGGAGTGAATGGAAATAATGAGCTGTCTTTAAAACAGTCGTGAGAGGTCTACAGACAATCGATTTTTATACTTTCTTTTTCAGAGTACTTACATTTTAATTATGCATTGATATATACAGAAAGTTTAAACAAATTTGGAAAAGAGTTTTTTATATAAAAATCCTACCTACAATACCTTTAATGTGTATTTTGGATGTTTTCTCTACACTAAACCGAAAGAGGAAAAGTTATGAAAGCAAAATAGTCCAAAATCTCAAAATGGACTGAATCTGTTCAAGCTGTTGAACTGAACCGCTTTTTTTATTTTTTATTGTGTCCTCACCGACAAAAACTTTCTCTTTCATGTATGTCTGTTTGAAAGAACCGGTTCATGAAAATGATTCCGTATTTTTAAGCTTGGATTTGTTGAGCTATGTGCAAAGCAGGGTTATTATAGTTAACGAAACTGAAACATTTTCATTACTTAAATGATAAATGTTGCCTTGGAAACTAGCTAAAAAAAGGTACATTTTATTTACATTTATTTAATTTAATTTAACTTGATGTACTAAAATAACTAAAACTGAAATAAAAATGAATAAAAACTATATAGACATATTACAAAAACCTGAAACGCACAACAAAATTATTAAAACTTTAACTAAAATGAAAACTATAAAAATAATAACAAATTCAAGATATTACAGTTTTTCTCAGTCGCTTTGGTACATTTCTCGAATCATCCTCGAAATTTGCAAAACAGTAAGTACATTTCTCAAAACAATTCGTACAAACAGCAAAACACCATGGATTACCTGCAAAAGCCAGTCTCTTGCTCAAAATCCTTAGTTCATCTCTCAAAAGTAAATATATGTGTCACTGTCAATGATCATGTCAGTGCCATCAGAATGACAAGTCCTTGTGTCATTGTGTACGGATAAGACTTGCTTAGTTCAAGCAAATTAACACCGAATTAACACTTTTGAGATATGAAGAGACTCAGGTAATTCACACACACTTAATCTCTCTCTCTCTCTCGCTTAGTGAATTCAAATGGCTTAGTTGTCAATATAACAGTGTCTGGAGGGATGTTCTGATGTAAAGTTTTGATGACAATATTGTAAATTGTAGGTTACACCAGGGCTCCAGACTAACTTTTTTCACCTCCGTCCTGAAACCGTCCTGATAAACAATTTGAACCGTCCTAAAGTGAATGTCAACCGTCCCAAAATGAAAATGTTGTTTCTGTACTTTATTATCATCTATAGTTGTTAGTCACATAATAAAAACACCATTAAAATGTTTATGATATATATTATATTTAGTTAGCTCCATTCAAAGGAGTTATGTGTAAATAGGTAAAAAAAAAAAAAAAAAAAGGAGTTAAATGCTTTTTTGTATTCATGCAGAACAAATCTTTTTTTTTTTTTTTTTACATGGTTGGATTAAACAATAACAAATAAATACTGGTGACTACATCTCAAAGTGGTAATGTGTCATAGCTGATCATCTGAAAATGTGTTATTAAGAGAAAGGGCTTTAAAAAGTGTAATATGACTTCTCTAGAACACAGAATTTGGGGGGAAATCTGTGTCTCAGTCTTTATATAATGAATCCTTATTAAAGCTATTAACGAGCAGTGAATGCTTTTCTCTTTTTTCTTTTGTTGCTTGATCAATATTAAGGACACAGACTGAGACCACATTAGGTTTATTGCCCACTGTCACTTTAAGACATCGGATCATGTCCAATGACATGCTGATCCAAATCCACTGATGCACATCCAATACACTCACAACTGTTTAAGACATAACCGACATAGTTTAAGTTCCCACATAGCTGTGCGCATCTACCACAAACGCAGGACATCTCTGATTGGATCTCTTCCTAAATCGTCACTATCTAACATTTTTGTCTATTTTTTATTCATTGAATATCCGTTGTTTAACCAGCGCAACATATTTGCGATGTCATTTAAGCCATTTGATAGCGCGGAACAAGTCTCCGGTCAGTGATAGTAACTATAGTAACAGCATGAGAAGACGCGCTCCGTTGTAGTCAGCGCTTGGTCGGTTAATTTTGGCATTTGGCATAAGTAAGTTAGCCTAATAGGCTAGTAATAAATTAACACACATACAAAAATGTTTTTCGTCCTGGAAAATATTTCTGTTCGTCCTAAACACATTTTCTATCGTCCCCAGGACGATAGGACGCCGTTAGTCTCGAGCCCTGGGTTACACCTTAGTGTATGTGGGAGTTTGATTGCAAGAGCCTGGACAAGATTCACATTTACGCTTTTACTGTTTGTACTGTAATTTGTTGACAGACCATTTCATTGCGATACAGAAAGGAAAAGACAGCACTGCATTGCACAAAGAAAAAAAAGAAAACAACAAAAGTAGAAATGTGAACATAGGACATTCTCCTTAGGGAAAAATTTGCATGTATTATTATATCAACTTGTTCAACCATTTTTCATGTAAAGACTTATGCTATGAACTAATGCCTAAATGTTGTGGGGGGTGAGACAATTCAACAGAGACCCATTATAATACATTTTGATCAACATGACATAAGCAATTGATAATGAAGGAAACAGCAGAGATTTGTACGTAATCATTTGCATGGATGTACCAAAGCATATGCAACTTGTTCAAAGAAATGAGAAACTGCTCATTTCTTATAGCACTAGTGTGAATTACAATTCACTAGTGCTATTTTAGTATCATTAAAACACTATTGTAATTTTTAATGATACTAAAATAGCACTAGTGTGAAACTGTAAATTGTAATTGGCAATTATGAACTATCTACATTTAAGCTAATGACCTTTAAGACCATGTAGAATTGTTAGTTAATAGAAGTATTAATTTATTGAACTCTGTCATCTTTAATTCCATTGCTGATGCCACTTCCATAAAAACAATATGAACATTATCCCCTGGTTTCACAGACAAGGCTTAAATATTCCCAGACTAAAATGCAAGTTTGAGCTGTTTTAACTGAAAGCAACTTGCACTGACATATCTTAAAATATCTCAGTGCCATTGTTTTGTCTCAAGATGCATACCAGTAATGCTTTTTTCTAAGGCACATTTATAAATGCTACTTAAATGCCCTAATTAAACTAAGGCCTAATCCTGGCTTAATCTAAGCCCTTTCTGTGAAACCGGGCCTTTGCATCTGTAATAAAATCTCTGAGACACGTAACCTCTTTTACTGCGTTTGCACTTTTTGTCTGTTAATGTGCCACTATGATCCTTTTGCTCCACTACAGGATCATAGTGGACCTGTTGAAGATGAACGTTGCTCCTCTGGCAGTCTTTCAGACCCTAAAGACCATGTGTGCGGGGCAGAAGGTCTCTGAAGCGTCCACCGGTGACACATCCACAGCGTCCCACACCACCGCTGCACCTTCAGAGTCTAGAGGTGAGTGGTACACATGTAAACAGACCAAAGCATAATGTGCCACAGTATTACATGATATGAGCTGGAAAATAGGTGATGTCCAACACAAAACAACATCTCTGCTGTTCTGGTAGTAGTTTTAAACTCCGACTTTGTCCTTTGATCACTTTCTCCGTGTTTTGTGCTAGCATTGTTTAATTGAATCTGTGTGACTTCCTTTAGAAGAAGAATGTGTGGTCTCAGGAAAAAGCTCTAAAACTGCAGCCCCTCCCTCTGCACCGGTGTCCCGCCCCCCTAGGGGAGGGGCTAAGATAGTGGTCTACAGCACGGGTGACACAGGCGCTCCTATCTCTCAAGGTTTTTCTTCTCTGTCTTTTAGCTTGGAACCTTTATCCTTATTTTAATTCCGATGTTTGCGAGTTCAAGGTCTTCTCTTCACTCCCATGAACTATTGCAGCACATTTCTCATGCTGACATAACTAATTCCTGCCTCAGCTTCATAGTGCCGTATATCTGTTCTCATTCTCATGCCTCGCCGATTGTGCCTGTGATTTGCGGGCTCGATGCTCCAAATATGGGGGTGAAATGCCCCAGATCGGCTTCCTTCATGTGTCTCATGGACTCTGTGACTCTCATCCGGCTATAAAGTCCTCTGGTTTTCATGGTAAATGAATGTCTGTTAATGGCGTGTGTCGAATGTGACACTGTAATGCACTAGTAAACCAGCATCCTGCAAAATTGTCTGCCACCAACTTGATGAAAAGCATGCATGTGACTGTCAACTTCATAAACGGATGGTGTTTGTACATTTTTCCACTTCATCACTAATATCTACTCTCATTGCAACTGTAAACCATCATGGTTTCCAAATCATTATAATGTCCTTTATACCCTAACATGTGACCTGCTCTTTCGTTTTGAGTCATTTTGACCCAGAAATACACAGATTTATCCACTAAATAATAAACAGAAAGTCTCAACACTCGCTAATTATGTAATTATATTTCTTCTTGTTTAAATTGTGCCTGCAGTTTTATTCAAACATATGTTAAATAATTAAGACATCAATGTCAGGTTAAAATATACTGATTTTATAATAAATTTTAGAGATATGCTCTTCTCTAATTGTTTTCATACCTAATGATCTGTGAACTGAACCGCAAGTGCACATGAAGTTTGCCATTTGGGACAAGCCCCGTGTACGCTCTACGCTCTCAAACTACTTAAAAATGTGTTTTTGTTTTGCAATAATTGTAAAATATGTTGTTTCAACATCAACATCTTTAAATAAATAGTTTTATATAGATCCATCATTTTTAATTTGATTTTCGTTCACAATGCTTCCTTGGACTATAGTTCTCTTCCTCATTAAAGCTTTTAAGTACACAAACTTGTAACTTTTTGTCCGAAATTAAAAAAATCAAAGTTTGCAATGTGATTCACCTAGAATCTGGTTGGTTTGGTTAATTAATACTTTTTTGTTGAAATCCCTATGGAAAAAATGAATAGGAAAAATACTTCCAGAACCCAAAAAGTGGGTTGGCACTGTTGCACTCTAAAACTAATAGTTAATGTAGAAATGATGATGGGTTCACATGCGATAAAGAAGTCTTTCAAATTAACAAGTCAAAATTCATGTTTTATGATAGTGTTCCTCCACAAACGTTTTGTTGCGACTTATGACTCAAAATGATAGAGCGTGTCACATGAATGTGTTTTAATTATATTAACATGGGTTTCTTCTGTATGTATTTGTGCAGTGCGCAGTAAAACAAGTTCAGGGCAAGGGGAGAAATCAGCGAGAGACGGTTCTAGCCAGCGAGTGCCACGGCAGGTCAGTGCCACCAGGGGGCAGAAGAGCGCCAAGAGCTCTGGCAGCAGCAGCTCGTCTTCTCAGCTCACCTCCAACTGAAGTTCTTCACCAATTAAACAACACATACTAAACTTGCTTGAATTACACTCCTATGTTCTGTTGAAGAAGGTTCCTGTAGGATTGGCAGAAACTTTTTCACTGTAAACAAGGTGCGTCATTTTAGGGATCTCCTTGGGGTTGTCTTTTGTGTTGTCTGAAAAACACTTGCTTTGCATCAAATTTGCATCTCGCCCAGGGAGACTGTAGCTGAAGCACTTGTATGGAATTTTGTATGCCAGTTTAGTTTACACTTTCACACCAAGACAATTTGAGAAAAACAAAAGAAAATCTTTTTCCATCTTTAAACCTTCCTCTTCTGAAGTTCAGTATAGCTTTGAGGCCGCTGTGAACCAGATCTGTTTTAAGTTGTTCTTGTGTAAGACACTTTAAATGTCTTGATAGACTGTGATGAAATGGAAGTTAGTCATTATTTTCTATTATTTTCATTGGTGAAATGTGCTGTTTTTTTACATTATTTATTTTTCTTTTATCCAATATTTTCCAAGTACATCTCTGCGTTTTTGAGTAAAAATATAAAACAATTATTGTATTTTACACTTTAATTCTTTGTGATGTAGCACTGTTAGTATACTATACATTAATACTATGCATCAATCTATTATAAAGCTAAATAATAGTCTGATCAATTTTGAGAAAGACTCACTCACGTTTTAATTTCTTGTTGATAAATGACACATAAGCACTTAATTATGCAGTTACTTTGACTGTAGGAACTATGACTGCTGTCTTCATTCATTCTGACGTGAACTTCATATTCCATGTTGAATGAGTTTATTTGATGCAATGCCTTTCTCTATAAAACCTGGAAAGGGCCAGGGTAAATGCAAGCACTTGTGTGTTTGTACACTGAACTTTCTTAAAGTGTGATCACACTTGGTGGCATGTGTAAGCCAAGGAAAGACCCTTTGAGACATGCACAATGGTTAAACGTCTCTTCAGTAATGAGCTGCAGGCATATGAAAATGTTTAGTTTCTAAGTGAACAAGTAGTTCCAGCCCAGGCAGGTCTTGACCGCATTGCATGTCCATATCACTTCGCCAAATGATTTCAGTCAACTTCAAAGGTCCGTACAGCCTACAACAGCAAAAAAACAAAACAAAAACCATAACGACACTGATCGAGCAAATAAATACAGTAAACAATAAGATAAAAACAAAATATTTCCATGTTTTTTGCCACAAAATGACATTGTATTATGTGCGGAAAGCATACTCTCTTTCTCCCGCGCTCTCTCCCACTCAAACGCGCGCACACATACAGTATGGACACACACTGTTGTCAGCGCTACTCTGACGATTTAATCTGTAAAATAATTTAGCTGCTTAAAAGCTACATGACATTTCTCACTAGCGAGGTAACAACGGTGCTGTCATTGAAGCAGATAAACGTAGTTCTGCTTTTAGCAGAAACGCTGCTACCGAATTAACACTTTTGAGATATGCAGAGACTCAGGTAATTCACACACAGTTAATCTCTCTCTCTCTATCTCTCTCTCTCTCTCTCTCTAGTATATTTGCAGTAATTTGAAATCAGTCCTACAGACATTTTTAACTGGCAAAAACACGTTACATACAACTATCATTAAAAAGTTTTTGGGTCCGATTTAAGAACTTAAAATGGACTTCTATTTAAAAAACAAATATATTTAAAATAAATGCTGTGCTTTTGAACTTTTTATTCATCAAAGAATACGGATACAATCATCATGGTTTCCACAAAAAGATTAAGCAGCACATCTGTTTTCAACATTGATAATAATAAGAAATGTTTCTTGAGTATTAGCATATTAGAATGATTTCTGAAGTGTCGTGACACTGAAGACTGGAGTGATAATGGTGAAAATTCAGTTTTAATTTCAGAATATTACTGGGGTTTTTTCTGTATTTTTCTTCAAATAAATTCAGCCTGGGAAAATGTGATTACACCACCCCCCCCCCCCCCCAAAACAAAAAAAAACATTTAAAAAAATCTTAAACCCCAAACCTTTAAAGGATAGTGGGGGGGGGGAAACAACAAAAAACAGGAATTTCAGTGCATCCAGTGCAATTCTTGTGATAAAATTACAATAGCACTGTTTAAGGGTTTTAAATATAAAAGTAAATTAAAATATTTTCGAACCAGTTTGACCCGACCTCAACGCAAAGCAATTTAACAGTTCGAAGTAACAAACCTTTTCCAGACGTTTCCATTGGAGAGACAATACAGATCTGTATCTATACATCTAGATATCTATACATGCGCATATATGACCCAACTAAGCTCTGACATATGAACACAGTCACTTGCATATGCACTACTTTTCATTTATAAATGCCAGACAGACAGTCTTTTCTCTTTCAAGGTCAGTGTATGAAAGTGAATTCCTTTAGATGGCACGAATAATGGTCATAAGGACACATCTCATTGCACAAGGATGTGTACTCTTTCAACAGTTTTCTTATTCTTTATTTGTCACTTGTGAAAGTTTCTGTATCCAAAATATTAGTTGGGTTTTCACTTGTCATTTTAATGAAAGAAAGTTGGGTTCGTTGACTCATTTTTGTAATTTTTGTGCTATTGATAATATTTGATAATATCTTCTTAAACACCAGTCTTCCACTGGTCGGTCAAATGTTGTTGTGTATTGATCTGAGTATGTATTGATCTCTGTGTGTATGTGTATGCAGTGAGCAGACCGTGACGGGTTGGTTGGAGCGGATGTTATAGCCAGACAAGAGGGTTTTATGGTACGCCAATCCAATGATGGCATCGCTGGACTTTTGAAGGGTATGGGCCATAAGTAAAAAAGAGAACACTGCTCACGAGGGGAATAGAAAAGAAAAGCTTTTGTTTGCCAGACTGAGAGGGATGAGGACAAAGACATACACTTGTGGAGAAAACAAAAAAAGGAAAGCGCTTGAGGGGCTTGAGCTAAAGAAAATAGGTGTGTGTGTGAGCTGGGGAGGAAGAGAGAGAGAGTGAAAGAGGTGAGCTAGAGGTTTTAATGTGGCCGTTTGTCGTGTTTATGTGGCTGTGCCGCTGCTCTCCTGCTCTCTGTATTGATGGCAGTGCAGCCAGGCTGTAATTGATGGCGGCATATTGCTGTACTCCGGCAAGTGTAATGGGCCGAGACACAGAAGCAGAGAGCACAGCAGGAGCCCTCTTTAACCCTTTACGTGCTCACACACACTCACACTCCCCAAATATGTGTGTGTGTTTGTGTCTCTGTATGGAAGGAGACGTGTGCCACATTTCTACTACAGGTAGATTAACTTGTCTTCTTATTTTCTAACCCCACATTGTGCAAGTTTTCAAGTTACACACAAAAGATGCACATTTATAGAAAATAAAGGTTCTAAAAGTGGGTTTTTGCAGTGATGCCGTAGAACCACTATTTTTGCTTCCCCAAAGAACCTTTCAGTAAGCATTTCTTAAAAGAACCATTTTTATTCTTAATATATAGAACATTAATCTGAAGAACCTTTTTCCACTATAAAGAACCTTTTGTGGAATGGAAAGGTTGGATGTTAAAGGTTCTTCATTGACCATAGATGCCAATAAAGAACCTTTTATTTTCATAGTGTAAAAATTTACACTTTTTTTTTTTTAAGAACTGTTCACTTAAAGGTTCTTTGGCAAACCAAAAAATGTTATTCTATGTCATTGCTGAGAAAACCCCTGTTTGGGACCTTTATTTTGTAGAGTGTAGTGTAAAGAAAACATTTTTTCCACTATAAAGAACATTTTGTGTGATGGAAAGATTCCATTGATGGAAAAGGTTAAATGCTAAAATGAACCTTTATTTTGAAGAGTGCAGTTCTTCTTTTCCGTAGAGTTCCGCGTCCATTCCTGAAAACAAAATGTAGGACGACAAGTATTGTGTTAGTTGTTATATTGTTTAGTTTGCTTGTCTGTTTTGTTTAGATGTACTTTTTAAGTGCTCTGAGTACCAGAACGCTATTTAAATCAAACCTAACTTGGTCAAGCAGCAGGAAACAGTTGGTCATGTGATCGTAACATGGCGGCATGAAGAGGCAACCAACTTTTATTAGGCTACTGATATGACAGAATTGTTCATTTGAAGTATCATTTTGAGCATAGATTTTGAGGGGTAAAACTTTTTTCAGAGCGGAAAGAATGACTTAGTGCACCTAAAGACATATTCTGGGTTAAACATGAACTGTGATATCTGCTAAAAAGAAAGTAGAAAATAATTTACCTCAGTTTGTAACAGTGGACGTGTTTGGGGTAAATAAATGTATACCATATTTAACCCAGAATGAGATTTATTGCCAAATATGCTTGCACACATAAGGACATTTTCTTGAAGAGAAAAACAAAACACATATTAAAAGGCCGCTATTATGCTTTTTCAGATATTACCTTTCATGCCGTGTAGGCCTATAGCTTATTGTGAATGTAAAAGGTCTGCAAAGTTTTAAAGATCAAACTCCACGACAAATAAAGTCTCCCAAAAGAAAACTGCCTAAAGGAGGTCAACTCAAACTGTGTCTTGTTTGGGTGGTTACCTGCATTTCCAAATCGCCAATAGGGGGCAGTGTGTCTCTACTGCCACTGCAGTGCTTCCGATGCTGAGATTGTTGGTACCTCATTTCCCCCCTCCACATATGCCCTGCCTGTGGCATCATGCTTCTATGTGCGAACATCTTTGGCAGCGTGGAGCGGGAAGGGCTTGTAAGCCAGCACGCTCCCACTGCTGTGAACATATTTGTTTGCGTGACTGTTTGTTTCTATTTCTGAGAATTTGGCTTAACCTTAGTCATTAGCAGGGCAGATTTATGATAATTTTCATTCATTTATTTGCATTTTTATTCATGGCACTGTATGCTTCCATAGTGGTGATGGTGATAATTTATTCAGAGACGCTTTATATTCTGAGAGCCGATATCACTTAAAATGTATCATATCATATTATATCATTGCTTTTACATCCTTAAAACTTAACATTGATAATACTTGAACTCCAACGTCAAACAGTGCAGCTAATTATAAAACAAATATCCTTTGAATATATT